AATAAATAAATAAATAAATAAATAAATTAAGTAAATACCCTGCTTGTAAATGAGAACCCATTCTTCTGAATGGGTGTTTATTTGTCAGTAACCAGCAAAAAAGATACAAATCATGGTCAAGTCATCACAGGATGCTGTGAGCTAGTTGCCAGGTGTCTAAAATGTGATCACTTGATCGAGGGGGGGGGAGAGATGTCATGATATTTAATGATGGTCAGAAGTGCTTTACTGGCTGGCACCCATTCTGGGCCCGTCATAAGTTTGAATGGTTGTTAAGGGACCAGTCATAAGTCAACAACTACCTGTATGCAGTCTTCAAAACTATAGCCACATGCCAGTTTTTATCTCTAGTTAGTTTCGATGGGAATTAAATTTGCTATCCGGTCTATGTGGCTGGCTGTTTTCCACATTAGCAATCTGGCAATCCTCTGCTTAATTGGAATTTAATTTGCTGCTCTGCATGCCCTGCTTTTAAGACTTATGCAGCTGATCAGAATCCTAATAGTTCTCTTTTCCAGTGGGGATTATTGCTTTCATATAAAAAAGTGCATATCCTAACAGGACACAATCTGGCACACCACTGCTGCCATTTATAGTTTACCTGAGTTAAAAAAAATTCCCATGCTAAGCAGTCCTGAGGAACCATCTGTCAAAGCAATTTTCTTCCTTCTTTTTTAAATAGGTCTCTTGTAATGCTGCGTTCCTTTCTGAGGTAAAGATAAAAGTGTTCTTTATTTGTACATTAAAATAGTATCATAGGGGAATTCTGGAGATTTTTTTTTTTTGCTTTGCAGTGCATTTTTACTTTTTACTTAATATTCTAACAATCTAAAAAAGTTCCTCTGCTATTTTATAGGACTCTGAAGAAATATGATAAACACGGTCATCTGATTTCCAATAAAACAGATTTGTGTGATTGTCTAGAGAAGAACTGCCTGGGCTGCTTTTACCCTTGTCCTAAATGTAATTCAACAAAGTGTGGGGCAGAATGTCGCTGCAACCGAAAATGGGTCTATGAGCAGATTCAAGTGGAGGCTGGCCAAATCATTCGATTTCCATTTCGAAACAACTAGATCACATTATGTTTCCTGATATTATTTTTCTCGCTTTTGTAAAGAAAAAGGGCATTTTTATTTTACAAATAAATGCAGGGTTGTTGTTCAGTCACTAAGTTGTGTCTTTGCGACCCAATGGACCACAGCACACCAGCCCCCCCCCTGTCTTCCACTGTTTCCCGGAGTTTGCCCAAATTCATGTTCATTGCATTGATGACACTATCTAACCATTTCATCCTCTGCTGTCCCCTTCTCCTTCTGCCTTCAACTTTTCTTAGCATCAGGGTCTTTTCCAATGAGTCCCTTTTTCTCATTAGCTGGCCAAAGTATTTGAGCTTCAGCTTCAGTATCTGTCCTTCCAAACAATAGTCAGGGTTTTTTCCCCCTTTAGGAAAATGCAGGTTGCCATACTATTTGTTGGAAGGAAAATAAATAGCTTAAATCATACAAGGAAACTTGGAAAAGTACATGTCTTGAGGGCAAGATAGCGTAAGAGAACCGTGATTGGAGTGAAAGGAGAAGATACAGTAGTTTGATAGCAAGAGCATCAGGAGAACCTTGACAGGAGAACTAGAGAAAAGGTGCTTCACATTTGTCTACCTATGTTTCTCCATTACAAATTAGTGCATCTCCCCACGTGCTTTATTTTTAATAGCAGATTTGAAGTGCATGTAGTGGATGGTTTCCTAATTTTGAAGATCTTGGAACACATGTGATGAAGAGAAATTTTGCATGGTAGGAATGGAAGGAGATGATAGGTAAAAGGAAAAAAAATGAAGATTTTTTTTCTTCCCCTTCCTCAGCAAATGGGTATTAGAATTTCATCTTAGGTTATTGGAATGTAGTGTGCAGCTGCCTGTGAGTTTCTTTAGTTAGAAAATGTTAGCATTAAGCCTTCTTCACTTTGGTAGCATCCAAAGTGCTGGGAATCCTGGAAGTTACAGCTGCAGAACATTTGGAGGACCTCCAGGGTGGAGAGGCTTATCTAGACTCTAGGGAATTGACTGAATATTCCTCCACTGCTAGGGTCAAGTAGAAGGCGATGTGCGGTTTAAACCCTTTTTGTTCGGTAGAATCAGCCGAGGATAAAGAATTTAAAAACAGCTGAGTAAATTGAAGAAAAACCTCAATAGCTCATTATTTCTTGATTCATCTATGCATGCATTATACAATCATTCCTTGGTGCTGCTCAGAAAAAAAAAGAAAAAAAGTTTTGCCTATGACAGCATGCCCTGCCTACCACTGTCAAATACAAACCTCCAATACACCGCTCAACTGGATGGAAAAATGCTCAAATGATATAATTAATTACAGCAGAGATTAACACCAGACAAACCGTCAAACAAAAAACAATACTCTAATGAAGGAAATACCAAGGAGAAAGCTACACCCTTTCTAACACTGACAGGGAAAATTACTGTATACTGTATAAACAGAACAAATCCCACACTCACTAGCTGTGATGATGCCACCTAGTTGGGTAATTAAATGTCTGCAAGCAAACAACTGAGCCCAGAGAGTATACTTGGCCCAATTCAAAATGCTATTGAATTAATTACTTATTCATCCAATATTGGACATAGCTGTGAATCACATTAGCGAGCACTTTATTGAACATGATCTTGCCCATTATGTGAGAACGCTACATAGGATCTACTCAAGGTTGTGCCTCAACAGGAGAGGAGTGGCCAGAAGGTAGGCTTTCTCAACCTTGCTTCCACATTAGGGAACATGTTGCCTACAGAAGTAGGTCTGGCTTCTATTATGCTTTAGTTATACAATGTCCTGAATCTATGCATTGCATAATATAAAAATTATTGTAAAAAAATAAAAAAAATATGTTACAAGTCCTCAACTTACAACCATTCAGTGATTGTACACTAGTAACAACAGACTGAAAAAAGTGACTTATGACTGTTCTTCACACTTACGACCATTGTAGCATCACGTGGTCAAAGTTTGGATGCTTGACAACTGGCTCATATTTATGACAGTTGCAATATCTTGGGGTCAAGTGGTCACCTTTTGCGACTGCAAAGTCAAGGGGGAAACCAGATTCACTTAGCAACTGTGTTACTAACAACTGGTTAACAACTGTGGCAAGAAAGGTTATAAAATGGGGCAAAACTCAACTATCTGGCTTAGCCACATAAATTTTGGGCTCAAATGTGGTCATAAATCAAGGACTACCTGTATTAAAAAACATGAGGCCAAACAATGAACTTTAGGCCATAATGTTGTTCTTGGACGTTAGTTCACCATTCCTCACTGTAAGCAAATCTGTTTGGTTGTCATTTTTAAGAGTAGTACTTATATGAACCATGGTTGGAATTATTACTGTGAGGAAACTTTTGAGCTAACGCAAGCCAAATTACTTAATTTGTATTATTTGTTATGTTTTATTAGGTATCTGTGACACATTGAATGTCCAGAAATACTGTGATATTGGTACATAATCATTATGGCATAATCCTATCACAATGTGATCCTACACATTTATGGAAAGCATAATGCATATCATAGCTGCAATATTTTAGAAAGATGAGCTATTATAGCAGACTGACCTATGGCTCCAGATTGTCTAGTACAGTAGTGTGTATACCAGATTTTGACCAGTAAGCTATTCTTCTGGGTTTCAGTGACATATTCTGATTTTCTTCGACAGAATACCAAATGATCCCACGTCATTATTTGACTGGAAATGAGTCTACCCTACCCTACTGCTTTACACCACTTACCCATCAACAATCAAGAAGGAAAAACTCTTTATATTTTATATTCATCACTCTCTGCTAAGATTACAATTATGCTAGAAAATGCATAGATCACATCCTTTGAAGACTTTCATAAATAAAATGTAAAATAAAAAATAGAGAAAAATAGTAAATTAAACATAAGCTACATCTCCAAATGAAACTAGAGATCTGATTAAAAATTCCTGTCTGAAAAATCAGATGAAACTGGAATTCTGCCATGATAAACATTTCAAGATATAATCCAGATACCTTTTTGAATCTGGATAAATTTGTAACAAAGAGAATGCTTAAATTTGTAGTTCTCAAATGAGAGCATTCTGCATTCCCAATTCTACATTGTAGGAATTTAGAATCAAAGAACTTTTGGAAAATAAGCTGGCTGCCTCCCCCCCCCCCCAATGAACAGATGCTATGTGTTTAATGTTAACTCGACTGATATTCCCAGTCTTGAAGAATGACAGTCTATTCATAACATATACATACCTTTTAAGAAACTTCACCATTTTCATTTTAGTGAAAAGGGCCGCTGTTTCTTGTTCTCAATATTGTAAGATGAATTTAAAAATATAAAATGTTATTTACTAG